GAGGGTATTCGAGGAAGACAGACAAGGATGGGCAGAATGGGAAGTATGGAGAAACAAAGGCCTGAGGATGAGAGCAGGGGTGAAAGAGTAGGAAAAAGGGGAGAAAATGAACAAATTCTTTTTTAGCAAAATTAAAACAAACGGCAGAAACACCAACATAGATAAACTGCAAACAAACCAGGGTCTAACTTCCAACCCACAACAAATGTTATCCGCTGCAACAAACTTCTTCCAAACCCTCTACCCTCTAAGGAACACAACTTTTCAAGGCAAGAGACCTCACAAGCTAGAACCAAGTTCCTATCCTACCTAGACAAAACGATCACAGTAGAACAGGTCTCAACATTGGACGCACCTATCTCGGAGCAAGAAGTCCTAGAAGCACTGAAATCAATGAAACCCAACAAAACCCCAGACAACGACGGCGTCTCCAAAGAGTTTTGGGTTGCCTTTTGGCCTGCACTAGGTACAAAAAGTACTTTCAGTTCCTAGAGGAGGCGTGGAACAATGGTTCCCTAGGAATCTCACATAGTACGGGGATAGTCTCTCTCTTATACAAGAAAGGCGACCCAACAGATATTAGAAATTACAGACCAATTTCCTTCCTACCGGTAACATACAAGATATTAGCCAAATTGTTAGCGAACAGAATAAGAACAATACCTAGGAACTGCTTTCACCTAGACCAAACAGGCTTCATCCCAGATAGATTCATTCTAAACAATGTAATGACTCTAAATGAATCAGTCCGATACATTCAGAACAAAAGAATGAATGCAGCCATCCTATTCTTTCACTTTGAAAAGGCATATGGCCAGGTCAACTGTAGTTTCCTACAACAGAGTATGGAAAAAATGGGAGTAGGACCAAACTTCAGAAAATGGGTACAAATCCCTTACTCAGAATCCCACCGAAGTATGCAAGTCAATGGCCATCTGTCGCAACCATACCGTATGTCCACATCAGTAAGATAGGGAGACCCACCAGCAGCCCCAATTTTCCTCTTTATTATGGAAGCCATAGCCTCCTTCCTAAGGAAAGACCTATCGATCAAAAGACTAATGGAGGACAAACAACATCCAATTACCCTACCAACAGCCATCCTATTCGCAGATAACCTGACAGTCCTTATAAGGGCATCGGATTCCTCATTCCAAACACTCACTAGAGCCATGCATGTGTTCCAAATCGCGTCAGAAATGAAAATTAATTGCCCCAAAACAATGGGCTGGTGGCTCACAGATCCTCAAATTGAGCCGCCTCAGAGCACACCGGAAGGAATGACATGGTCACAAGGCAATGAACCGTTAAGATTTCTAGGGCTCTAATCAGGCGATGGCCCCAACAATATTGAATAAAACAATATCCAAAATGGGCAATTGGTCAAAGACATATACATCAATCTTCGACAGGGCATTGGTACCGAATGCCTCTATTTTTTCAATGATGTGGTACGCAACAACCATTTGGAGTCCACCGAAACACCTCAAAGAGCAATTGAGAAGAAAAGCAGCAGCCTATCTTTGGACAGGGAACCCATCCAAAGTTAACTTCATCTCCAAAGTGGCATGGAAGCACGTAACACAGAAGAAGACAAAAAGCGGTCTGGGAATACTCGACCCAAAACTACAGATAAAGGCTCTGCAATCAAAATGGATCATCAAACTATTAACCAATGAGAACCTCCCATGGATAGACTTACGGCTACGATGAAGGATACAAGAGCTAGTGAAATACAAAACCCCGAAAAACATGTGAGGCCTTTTCTGGCTAATGACCAAATCCTGGGCTATGAGGGGCACAACTCGAGAAGCAGGGCCAGAGGAAGAAGCAAACGATCAGGAACAAGACTTCTGGAAGCAATTAAGTCTTGAAGCAATTAATGAAAACCTGGAGAGAGAGCCTACCAGCCAAGGAGAGAGAACCGAAGAGCAACGAAGAGGTGCTTAGGCAACCCCTCTTTTGCAATAAATCCATTCTGGACACTAAGAGGATACCGTGGACCCTAACAGGCAATGATAAGAAATGGGGCACGTGGGTAGAAAAAGGAGTGTGGAAGATCAAACACTATGGGATGAGAAAGAAAAAAAGATGGAAATCGGTCAAGGAGCTGAGAGAAGCCCTAAAGGGCTGCCACAACTTGCAGGAAAACTTAAATAACATCCTCAGTTCCGTCCCGGAAAGATGGATCCAACTACTCAAAGGACCATACAAATGGAACCCAGGAGACTGGGCGACAACAAAGATGGAAACCACCCCCACCACGGCCTACCAACTTCGTAAGCGGGAAGGACCAAGGGATTCCTGGCTCATCTGCGACATGTACCCAATAGAGGAACCAGGAGCTACCCCAAGCTTGTTAAACCGAACCTCGTCAGGGGAAGTAGCCCTACCAGAACTAGCGGTAAGAAAAATAAGGGTAGTAGAAACAAAAGAACGTCGTATTTACAAGCCTACAACAAATGTAGAAGACCTAGAAATTGATCCAGTCGAATTGGCCTGGAAAGTGAAATTGGGTAGACTAGGAATAGAAAAGCGCACTAATATTTTAGAATACACCACAAAGTTGGGATATGCGCTGAGACTGAGATCCGCATCTGTCTCGCAAAGTATAAGCCATAGATGGGAAACTCACCTCACCATACCACCCAACAACGCAACCCTCTCCCCATGGAATGGAATTCTCAGTATAACAGCCGTCAAATTAAGGAGCTTTCAATGGCTCCTCGCACACCGCGCTTTACCAGTAAACGCATGGCTGTACAAGAGAAGGAACACAAACACGATCTCCACTACAAGAGCTATGTTCCATCTGTCCTAGTGGAATGAAAGAAGACAGAGAACATTGTCTCCAACAATGTCAAAAGGCACAGCACCTCTGGAAACGCCCAGCAGCACTGTGGCTTTCAATTACAAAAAAGACCCTCCCAACGGAACAGATTCCACTTTTGCTGGGAATGCAATTGCCAGATTCATGGCACGGATATGAACTCGTTTTCTTCCAGACGCTGAGGTTAGCCACTTTATGGGCAATTTGGAAACACAGATGCCAAGAGACAATGGAGCACACAGCAGTGAGTACACAAGAGACATGGGAAGAGATACTAAACATAATAGAAACCGAATACAGGGGACGCTGGAAAAGGACCTAGAGGAAAATACAGAAGGACCCAACAAATAGAGACAAAATAACGGAATCCTTTTCAAAGCATCTCCTAGGGGAAGGTAAGATAGAAAAAATAGAGCATGACAGAATTTATTTCGGACATTGGAAACAGGGGCATACAGCCTTAACCCAGATACCAGACACACCAAGGAACAGAACAAACATTACAGACATGTCACTAGGAACCAGCTGAACGCACCTCCACCACACCAAACAAGAACCTTCGCCTCTTTTCGACGGGCATCCAAACAGCAAGCCCATAGCATCCCGAAGGAAAAACAGAAGATTGAACTAGATTCCCACATGATAAAAAGAACGAGTTTAAGCCTAAAACCATAGGAGGTATTAAAAGGGCGCCGAGCAGGTCAGATAAATCACCTAGGGTTTAGGGTTTAGGCACAAGACAGAGAATGCAGAGTAAAGACAAAAAGGAGGATAGGGTTTAACCCTAGACACGGAAAGTAGTACCTGGGCCTGAGAAGGCCCAGGTTCTATCGAGGATTACTTAAGAGGACCAAGTCTGCAGTTCTGGCACTTAAAGAGAACCTGACAGTCAAGGAGCTGAGAGGAACAAGTCAGACAACGCCTTAAACAAGTACACAAGGATCACAATACTGGGGCACTGCTAAGTCTTAGAACCCAGTTGATCGGGATCAGGCTAACCTAGGCAAGAGGGGTCCAGCAAAAGCACTCGCTAGGGTTTAGGGTTTTAGCCAATCCTGCAACAAACAGCCAAGTCGACAGCTCTAGCGCCTACAGCAATAGGGACGAATAGACTAAACGAGTTTTTGCCAATCGTCCTAAAAGATAGGAGGAAAGGCGAAGAGGGATACAGTATAGGACCTATCTTTAGACAGGAGCAACGACAACTGAACCAGAGAGAATTTAGGATTCATGTAAACGAGTCTACAGAAGACAAAGTCAGCAGTTTGGTAATCAAGGATAGTTTGACGGTCAAGAACCGAGAGGAATAGGCAGAACGAAGCCCTGCTAAGCAAGCCTACAGAGTGTACAATTCCGGGAGTTCGTTCAGCACCAAGAAACAAAGTACAGTAGATCAGGCTAACTTAGGCAGGGATAAGGGATGGCACATCCTTCCGATAGGAAGCAATCAATGCCGTCCCTTGGGCCTTCCTACCGTAAAGGGGAAGAGCTGTCTCTTATACACATCTAGATGTGTATAAGAGACAGGTCAAGAACCGAGAGGAATAGGCAGAACGAAGCCCTGCTAAGCAAGCCTACAGAGTGTACAATTCCGGGAGTTCGTTCAGCACCAAGAAACAAAGTACAGTAGATCAGGCTAACTTAGGCAGGGATAAGGGATGGCACATCCTTCCGATAGGAAGCAATCAATGTCCCAGAATAGGCTTTCCTACCGTAAAGGGGAAGAGGGTGGGTGAGTACCTGATGTAACTTTTGGTGACTTGCCGGTGGAATAGGAACCGGACTGATGCTCCCAGAATGGAAAAAGAGCCGGAGCCAAGGCCAGGATCATAACACTCGTGTGTGTTAATTTGCCACTTCAGTATTTGGGGTGAATGTTTTGTGAGCTTTTGGTCTGCTGTGAGTTGCATTTGACTGTGGAATTCAAGCTGGTTCATTACATTCTTTGTGTTTTGATTTTTTTCCCTTTCTTTCCTTTCTTTCCTTCTGGGTATGCCACATCATCGTCCATTGATAGGGAACTGGCTTCCAATGAGCTGCAAAGTTGATTACTGAGTGGATTCAAACATCTGAACAGCTCTTGTGATTTGCAAAGGTTTTATCCAGAATGAAGCTATTCCTCTGGCCACTTGTGCTGACTGTTGTCTATGAGAAACGTGGTTTTTGACAGGTAGTGCCATGCATGGGATTGGTGATTGCAAAACTTGGTGAACAACTGCGGGGTCTCTCAAGGAAAGGACAGGACAGTGTTGCAGGGCTCGCAGCATATGTCAGCGAGGTAACTCTGCAGATTACTGGAATGGATGCTGTGCAGATTCTGAATGATGTGCAGGTCTGTAGATTACTGGAATGGATGCTGTGCAGATTCTGAATGATGTTTAGGTTAAACGACAGGGACTCAGAGAGAAAGCAAGGGGGTATGAAGGGGGGGAGTTGGGGTGGAGAGGAGCAGCACAGAAAGGCCTATGACTTCTGTTGTTGGGTGCAGGCTGGTTATTCTTGTGCATGTCCCCCTTTTTTAATGATCAACAAGTGTGCTCTTACGGCAGACCAGTGCAGGCACTTGCCGCTCAGCCGCATGACTCTTTGTTTGCCTCTTGTGGTTCTCAGATGGATTTGGTTTTTATATTAGGGGAGCTTAGTCACCTTACATAACAAATTCACAGAGAGACACACATATGGTTTGTGACGATTTAGGGATGGAATGGGAGAGAGTTTTTTTTTTTTTTTTGAAGACACATTCCGGTCTTGCTAGCTCTTTGTCCTGGCAGATTTGAGCGGTTAGGATCAGGCTTGTCCTAGCGAGCTATTCTTCTTTTGTGGGCGGATGTTTTGTTGGTTGGTCTGTTTATGACACATGACCTAATTCTTTGCCCTGCTTTAGAGAATGGGCTATCTCTTTGTGAAGGAATGTCTGTGGGTGGCCACGAGTTCTTTTGGGGTGGAAATGTATTTTCGCAGGGAGGCTCAGAGAGTGTTTGCTGTGGGTGTCATTCCCACGAGCTGCTCTTTTGGAGCACAGAGGAGAAATGGGGAAGCTTCTAGTGTGTTTTAAGCAGTAACGCTCCTGATGTCACGGGGAGATATTGTGGAGTTTGGGATTAGGGCACTCTATACACTCCAGGGGCTCGATAGTAAATGAAAGGGTGGTTTTCTAGCTGTGGTGTGATGGAGATCATGGTGACGTGAGTGGGTAGTTTGGGATGAATAGCAGTGTCAGTGTTGTTGTATTTGTGCGACCAATGGTGCAATAACCCATGCAGTAAGCCTCGTGGAAACTAAGGGCCTCACCAGGCCACACCCAGGCCAAGAACGGGGGAAAAGACCCCAGCAAAAGATCCAGGGCCTGGACGAGGTACAGTTGACAAAAGTCAACATGTCGGAAACCCCAACAGTCAAAGTCAAAGTGTACCCAGCCCAGGCCGCCGTTCGGACAGATAAATTTGTTTGTATGCAGGTACCCAGACAGCATCAGGTCCAAGGGGAAAGTCTGCAACTGTACAATCCAGGCCTTCGGCTGTGAATCAATCTGGACGACTGAGGGGAGGAGACCCGAGGCCAGCGAGCCTCGTTAAATGCTACTTAAAGACTGGCCTCGAGGTGGTCAATATTCAGTCTTGCCATGCTGCTTTGATGCTGGCTCGACTTTGACAAGACACTGGCATTATGCTGGCGGGACGTTGGCTGTGCATAGGCGTTGCGGACGACGGCACGAGGTGGAGGCAGCAGGCTGGCGCTTCTTGTTTTGTGCGACAGACATGCTGATGTGGCGCTACCTTTGGTCTACATTGCATGCTGATGTGGCGCTACCTCTGGTCTACATTGCATGCTGATGTGGTGCTGCCTCTGGTCTACATTGCATGATGATGGGGCG